AGGGAGAGGTGTTTGAATTTGGGGTTACAAATGTTTTTTGTAAATTTGGTGACACAAAAGGGAAGCTCTCACTGGTCTAATTTAAAGCAAAGCACTGCCAGCATTGCTCCTGGGGGCTGTGCTTGTTCCATAAGCACAGGATTGAGGGCTGGCAGTGCAGGACAGAGAGCAGAGGGACCATGGAGCAGTGTGGGTGTCCTTGCAGAGCCAGGGATGCACAGCAGCCCCCTGGCATTGCCTGCAAACCCCACAGGCACTCAGAATATCAAACACTCCCTTGCAGGCTGCAAGGGGAATCTCCCTGCCTGGATTTAAGTACATTTGTCACACCAGGCACTTAATCCATTGTGGAAAATCGGTTTATTCCTGACACGCAGGTGGAGAGTGGCAAGGCTGGCTCCAAGGTGGAGTCAGGAGCTGTGGAGGGAAGGGTCAGCCCCCAGCAGCACATCCTGCTGCCCCACAGCCAGGCACAAAACCCTCCTTTGGGAGCTTTCCACGCTTGCTGGAATCCCTTTTCCTTGCTCTCAGATGAAAGTTTCTCTTTTCCAAGCCGTGTGAGGACTTTTTTCACAGCAGCATCCAGCTGGCTGGCAGCTGGGATCAGAAGGGAACACACACAGCTCGTGGGGCTGCTGGGGGGTGGAAGGAAGGTGAGAGTTTTCCTACCACAGAGCAGCCCTGGGGGCTTTGGGCAAGGAGGAAAATGGGATTTTTGCTGAAAAAACAGAGGACAAAAGCAGAGCAAGGCTATGCAGAGTGTTTCTCTTGCTGCCTGCAGATCACAATTCCAGTTTGGGAGCCTGGGCAGGTCAGCAAGGAGTGAAATTCATTCAGAAGAGCAGACAGCAAAACTCTTGACTAACTTGTCACAGGAGAGGCAGGGAGGTCACAGCACAGCACAGAGGCCTTGGCACTTCTGTCAGACACACATCAGTGCCTGCTTGCAAACAGCACCAGCAGCAGAGAGGCTGCAGAAGTTCCTCTGGAGATCCAGGGATGGGACAAACTGGATCCAGGTTGGCCAGGACTGCTCCCAAAGCATGAAGATCAACAGCTCCCACTCCAGCTTTAACAGGAGACAGCAGAGCTTTGACTTCTCATCTCATTCATGCCTCACTTGGTACATTTGAGACACAATTCCCTCATCAAAACCAGTTGGGCTTTAAGTTGTCCCAGCCAGGAGTTCATTATGATCTTCCCAGCTCTCAGAGGTGTTCTCACCTTGAGCCAAGCTCAAGCCCAGCTCCAAAATTATGAGGGAATCTGGCAGAAAATAGCAGCTTGTGGTCCCAGCAGGGCTGTGCTTGGGGCTGGTGCTTGCTCTGTACCACCAAGAAGTTCCTCTCTCCTTGGCTGCATTCATTCAGCCTTTTCACTTGAATGAGCTTTTGCATTTGTGTATTCCAGCACCGAAAGAAACAGGGGGGGAAAAAAAAAAGTCAAACAAGCCTGGAGCATTTTGTGCTCTTAGAGGCTGCCTGAGCTCTTTTGGATTCCAAGAGGAATAAATCACATCTGTGTGTGCAGCTCCCGGATATCCGAGTGACTTGTTGAATAGAGCTGCCTCTCACATCACAGCCCTTGGTTGGGCTTTTATTCCTGGCTTTTGCAGCAGCATCAAGCCTTTTTAAGAGTTATTTTGTCTGAAGTAGGCTTAGCTTTTCCCTTCAGCCCAGCTCTGCAGCTTCCTGCAAAGTGGTTGCGTGGGAAGAGAGGACAAAAGAAGGGATGGGCTGGATGTGAAGAGAACATCTCTCTGAGTGTGGCTGTCCTGCTGTAAGGAATTGTGGTATTTAAGAGCTGGTTTGTAGTTCAGGCCTGTGAGATCTTCATCTGCAGCCTGTGGAAGGGAACTGAAACCTTTCTTCTCTTTTCTGTGAGCAGGGGGTAGTGGGGAGCAAAAGGTCCTGAAGAGAAGAAGGATGAGAAGAAGGGGATTTGTGTGGGGCTCTGCAGGTCCTAAACAGCCACGGGGAGCCAGGCAGCACTGCTGGAAAATCCCATGGGAATTTTCACACAGCAGGAACACCTTCCCAGCCCGTGCTGAGAGGCACCTCCTGCTCATCCCAGAGGAAACTCCTGCAGGTCACTCTTCAGAGCTGGTTCTTGGTGCCACCAGCAGGACAAGGTGGTTCCTGGCTGTGCTGCAGAGCCATTCCCATCTGCTGGGGCTGATGAGGATCCTGTCACCAGCACAGCCAAGGGGCACCAAGGGTGGAAGGTGACATCCTTCCCTTGAACTGTGTCCCCTCCTGAGCTGATTTTGGGCTGCTCCACACAATCCCTGGGAGTGTCTCTTGCTCTGTCACAGCCCAAGGCTCCAAGGCTCTGCCTGAACCTCTGTTTCTCCAGCACCCAAATGAAGCTCAGCTGTGGGCTGGGGAGTCTGGAAGAAAGTTTCAAGGTGACCCAGGGCACAGACGTGTCCCAAAGCTCGGCTGGTGGCAGCCCTGGGAGACCTGGGGTCTCTCCCAGCCTCCTCCTTCTCCTCCTCCCTGAGCTGGGCAGCCCCTGCTCTCCTGGTTTTCCCTCATCCAGCAGATTTCCCAGCCTCTGGCCAGTCTCCTGCTGGCCTCTTTCCACGCTCTATGCAGCAAGCTGGATGTCAGGATGAAGGACAACTCACTCCAGGTGGAGATGGGGAAATGGAGCTCAGTGGTGCCTCCCAGGCTTCTCTCCAGGCACAGAGCTTCCACCTCCCTTCCCCAGCCAAGACAAGCACCAGAACCTTTTCTTTCAAGCCAAGCTCCTCATCTGGAGCCCAACTTTAAATTCCTGACCATCCATGGAGTGACCCTGAGCCTTTTGGAAAAGGTGAACAACCCAGGGGGGAACAGCCTGCAAGGAGCTGCAGGGACATGAGGGGGTGATTAAGGAGAGTCCTGAGCACAGCTACTCCTGGTGGTAGTTCCTCTCACCCTTGGTAGGGTTAGGAGCTGTTCCTCCCTAACTCTGAGCTCTGTTTATTGGTGTTGTGCAATAATTTATCTCCTCTGATCCCACTGACGCCCTTTGCTTCCACAGCCTCAGCAGCAGCAGCAGCAAGTTGCAGAAGTTACAAGCCAGCATGCAAAGAAATGTTCCCTTTTTATCTGTTGTAACACAATTCCCAGCTCAATCCATCCTCACAGCAGAGCTGGGAAGGCTGGGGACACGGTGTGAGTGTGTGGATGGTGGATTCTGCATTTCCATGTTAACATATTCCTGGAAAAGGTTAGGGAAGAAACTGCTGGAGGTGACTGTTGGTGGTAGCAGGGAACAGAAACCAATGACCCAAGAGGTTCCCTCTGCTCTGACATTTTTGCTGTGAATCCCACGAGTTAAATTCTTGCTGTAAGGCTCAGATGTGTTTTGACAGGTACAAAGGGATACCAAGAACACAACCTCCTGAACAACCCTTGAGTAAGGTGGGTGCTTGGTGGTTCTTAGGGTGATAGAGCTCAGCACAGCCCTGCAAAATGTCACCAGCTGGGTTTTCCACCCCTGATTATTGTGCACAAGAAGGTTTGGGATGTGTTAAAGCACGATGGGACGTGTGCATGGTAACCTGTGAATTTTTTTAGGTAACTAACTGTGAAGAGGTGCAGGACCCCCTCTTTACAGACAAGCCAGTCAAATTTGTCACACTGACACGGGGGCACTGGGGAAGATGGACATTTTTCCTTGGGAAGATGAACATGTTTTCCTTTGCTGTCAGGCTGCCCTGAAGGGTCTCTCTGGGCTGCCCAGCACCAAACATTCCTGCCCTGCCAGCAGAGCAGGGTCCATGCTCAGCTCCGAGGTCCAGCTCGGGCTCAGGAGCGATGCTGCCCAGCAGAGACCCCAGTTCTGATCTGTAGTTTGCATTGATCTTACATTTAGACACACAGTCAGAAGAACAGACCCTCCCTTTTCCAGTGCCTTTGGAAAGATCGCAGCTTCGTAGAATGAGTCCTTTCTCCTCCACCCTTAATCTGCAACCCAGCTTCTCGGGGAGATCCTACTTTGAGCTAAGATCTTCGGCCCACCAGCTGAGCTTGCATTCCTCCTTACAGTCCCTCAATTCAGCCGGTGAGCTGAGCACCTCTGGCCTTGCCTCTTGGTCTGTGCTTCTGGGCATCTCCAAACTGTTTGTTCTGTTCTGTTGTGTTTGTTTTTCCCATGACATGCGGATGGCAGCGGGAATTCTTTCTGTTTGTCAGCGCCAAGGGGTTCTCCTGGGGCGTTCCAGCTGTGCCAGTTTGAGGTGTGGGGTGATGGAGCAGCACAGTGATTCCTTAGCTGGGTGCTGCTCTTGGCAAGGCTGAACCCTTTGGTGATCATAAATCCCTGAATGGTTTGGGATGGAAGAGACCTTAAAGTTCATTCACTTCCGACCTCCTGGTATGGGCAGGGACACTTTCCTCTAGATTTCCTCATTTCTAGTTTGTGTTGAGCTTGTGTCAAGGGATAATCAGAAAAGACATTCCCTGGGTGAAACCTGTCAGGGTATCCCCATGCTCTCCTTTCCTAACACAACCAGGAAACGCAGCCTCTGCTGGGAGATTTGGTCTGTGAAATGAGTTTGGTTGATTAAATCTCGACCCCTGTTAAGAAAGAAGCGAGTCTGGATGCAGGCAAGGTCTGGCTTGTTGCCCAGAGAGGCTGTGGGCTCCCCATCCCTGGAAATGACCCAGGCCAGGCTGGACAGGGCTTGGAGCAGCCTGGGATGGGGGGAGGTGTCTCTGCCCACGGCAGGGGTGTGGAATGAGGTGATTTGTGTCCCTTCCAACCCAAACCAGTTTGGGATTCTGTGATTCCAGCTCACAGCCCAACTTAGGGCCTGGAGATGTGGGGTCTCTTCCACTCAGCTTTGAGCACTGGGCTGGGCTTTTTCCAAACCCAGATATGATCATCCCAAAGCCTGGTTCCCTGCAGAGCAGAGGACAGCACTCGTGTGATGCCTCACTGTCCTGGCAGCCCCACAGGAGGGCTTGGTTCAGATCCGTGTGCCTGGAATTGCTGTGGTGGGATGCAGGCAGGTCAGGCAGAGTGAGGGATGGATTGGGCAGCCAGCAAGGAGCCACAGGGATCTCTCAGAGCTGTTTTCTAACCAGTCTTTGCACATCTTCTGTTGCTAAAGATCCTGGGCCCTGATTCTTCCAGCACTCTGGATTTACACCCCTCCGAAGGCGTTAATTCTCCGGTATAAGCCCTGGAAGAATGGGGGCCCCTGATTGTTTGACTTCCATCCCATAACACGGAATGAGGAATGCTGCAGCATGACCCTTGCCAGAATAACCTGGGTGGGGAGGGACCCTGCAAATTTCCTTTTCTTTATGCTTTTTTTATGTTTGATTTCTCATCGTGCTGCTGTGAGCTGATGGCTTCCAACGCTGTTTCGTTACGGACGTTCCTTCCTTTGTGTCCGTGCTGGCCGTGAGCCGTACCCGTGTGTGCACCATGGACCTTCTGCAGCCCCACTCTGGGGTGGGGGGGACAGGGAAAAACGGGGTCCTGAGCACCAAAGCAGGGTCTGTGCGTGTGCCTCGGGAGAGCTTGGAGCGCAGCGAGGCGCAGAGAGCTGGAGAGGAGGAGTTGGAGTCGGGACACGGGGCAGGATTCATTAAAGCAGCCTCAGGAGGAGCCTCTTGGCACAGCACGGAGCACAATCACAGCCTGGAGCTTTCCCACCAACACCCAGGGCAGCAGGGGGGAGAGCCAGGCACTGAGCTGGACAGGGGTGACCCTAAAATCAGCACCCATCGTGAGTGTTGTCACATGCAGCGCCAACACAGGGCTTTGTGTCAGTCTCCTCCTGGTGAGGACAAGCTGCTGGATCAGGACAAGCTTCTAGGTCAGGAAAAACTCCTGGATCAGGACAAGCTCCTGGAACGGGACAAGCCCCTAGGTCAGGAAAAATTCCTGGAACAGGACAAGCCTCTGAGTCAGGACAAGCTTCTAGGTCAGGAAAAACTCCTGGATCAGGACAGGCTTCTAGGTCAGGAAAAATTCCCAGACCAGGACAATCTCCTAGGTCAGAACAAGCTCCTGGAACGGGACAAGCCCCTAGGTCAGGAAAAAATCCTGGACCAGGACAAGCTCCTAGGTCAGGACAAGCTCCTAGGTCAGAACAAGCTCCTGGACCAGGGCAAGATTTTAGGTCAGGACAAGCTCCTGGAACAGGACAAGCTCCTGAATTAGGACAAGCTCCTAAGTCCCTAGGTCAGGAAGAACTCCTGGGACAGGACAAGCTTCTAGGTCAGGACAAGTTCCTGGATCAGTCCCTGGCTCCCATGAGGTGATGGCAGTCAGCAGTCAGGCACAGGAGCATGAAGGGCACCCTGACACATCCTGCCCATGCAGCTGATGGAGCCACAGCCCTTTGGTGCTATCAGGGGTCTGAGGCATCCCCTTCCCAGCTCCACTCCCACCCACACCTCACAGCCATCAGGAGCTGCCTTTTCCTCAATCCCTGCCCTTCAAGAAGTGGTTTTTCAGTCAGTTTAGAGAACCTTTACCAAGCAGCCAAGATACTCCACCAAGGCTAAAGTTTCCTGCCTCTTGTGGAAAAAAGCAAAATAATTTGGCATCCTGAGCAGTCAGACTTTCTACAATCCACACTCAAACTCCCAGGCTGTGTTTGCCACCTCTCTCTGTGCCCTCTGGCTTTTAATGAATCAGGCCTCCCGTGGCTGCTGGATGTTTAATTAACAATGAAATGCTCAGAGTGTTTGTCAGGAGGTTGTTGTTCCTTAGCTGTGATGTGTGAAATGTAGTATCTCTTTATAGGATGCAATTTTGACACACAAGGATCGCCTTACTCCCAATTAGGCAAGTATCTTAATTACAGTTAACTGGCACCTACTGCGTGTTGCTTCATTCTTTTTTGCTTTTTTTATCTTTTCTTTGGCGACTGAGCAGCGTTTCTTGCTCGTAGACTGCTTGCAGAGCACTCCTGGATGTGACAGAATCATGGAATTGTTGAGGTTGGAAAAGCCCTCTAAGACCATCAGGTCCAGTTATTCCCCAGCACTGCCAAGGCCAGCACTGCCCCATGTCCCCAAGTGCCACATCCACAAGGCTTAAATCCCTCCAGGGATGGGGACTCCACCTCCTGGGCAGAAGGGAAATTTGGAGAAGTTGTGATTGCTGGATGGTGTAAAGGCATTTTGGTTTCCTTCCTCATGGTTTTAAAGAGAAGCCTGAGGTCAGTGCTCTGGAGGAGGCCCTATAATTTAGAACTGATCCTTCTGCTCTCCTCCTCTTTTAAATGGAAAGAGGGCAGGGTTAGGTTGGATATTAGGAAGGAATTTTGGCTGGGAGGGTGGGGAAGCCCTGGCACAGGGTGCCCAGATTTGCTGTGGCTGCCCCTGGATCCCTGGAAGTGTTCCAAGCCAGCTTGGAGCAACCTGGGATAGTGAGAGGTGTCCCTGCCCATGGCAGGGAGTGGAACAGGATGATCTTTAAGGTCCCTTCCAACCCAAACCATTCCATGATTCTCAGTCCATATCCCTGCTCATTAAGGCACTTGAACGTGGGCCAGATGCCGTGGATGCAATTAGCCTCTCTGCAGCTAATTAAAGCAAGGTGGCTGCTGCTTGCCTGTCCTCTTCAGACTGTGTGCAGGGCCAATCCTGCTCATTCCCCTGGGAGAAGGAATCCCCCTGCAGCCCTGTGGGATTCCCTGCTCACCCTGCACCCTCTCGCAGCCCCAGCCCATCTTCCCACCGTGATCCAAAACGCCGACAGATCCATGCTCTGGCTGGACAAGCAGGAATGGTTTCTCCTTTTTTTTTTTTTTTTTTTTTTTTTTCCCCTGCCCAACCTGACGTGCTGTTTTCTCTCCCTCATGCCTTTCCCTGGGGATGACCACAGTTGACATTAAAAAAATGGTGGCAGGTACGGCACCCCCCGTGCGCGGCGCGTGCATGGCAGCTGTCCTGTGAAACCTTCCAATAAACCACTCAATCCGTCTCACCCGAGTGTTTTTATTTTTCAAGCCGTCAAGAGTGTTTTGTGGATGTGTCAGTTCACGTTTTTCAGCTGGAGGAAACCACCTGGGGAACTGGGCTGGTGGCTTGTGAATGAATCCCTGTCCCTCTGTCTTGTCGAGGACGTGACGCTGTGTCTGTCAGATTTGCACTAACCAAGTCCTGTGCATTTAAACCAGCAGCCCCACGGAATCCTGGAGGTTTTGGGGCATTTTCCAGCCTTCCCATGAGTTCTTGTCTTAGGTGTGGCTCGTTGCCTGGCAGGGAGGTTTCGTGGTGTGATGGGGCACCTCAGTAAATGAAGACTTTTGTGTGTGCTTTTTGTTCCCAAAAACAGCCCTTAAATACACACACAGAGTTCATCTGCTGGTCCTCAGTCCCATTCCCACACTAACCTGACTCTGCAAACTATGTAACACTTGGTCCTGAGACTAAGTTACATTCCAGGCCAGGCTGGACTGGGCTTGGAGCAACCTGGGATAGTGGAAGGTGTCCCTGCCCATGGCAGGGGTTGGAACAAGATGAGCTTTAAGATCCCTTCCAACCCAAACCACTCCATGATTCCATAATTCTGTTAGAGCTTGCAGACCTGGTGAGGATCACATCTCCTGCGAGGCCCAAATTTTAGGAGGCCTTGAGGATCCTGCAGGCTCACGAGCCAATCCATTGGGAGCCATGGAGCAGCAAGAGAGAAACTCCTCCAAATCCCGGCCATAAAACCTCAGGCACGATGGCAGCTGCAGCCACAGGAGCTCAGAGCATCCCTCCGTGGTGAAAGTTGTCCCTCCATGGTGGCAGTTGTCCCTCCATAGTGGAAGCTGTCTCTCCATGGTTGAAGTTGTCCCTCAGTGGAGGAATTTGTCCCTTCATAGTGGAAGCTGTCCCTCCACGGTGGAAGTTGTCCCTTGGTGTTGGAAGTTGTCCCTCCATGGTTGAAGTTGTCCCTCCGTGGTTGAAGTTGTCCCTCAGTGGTGGCAGTTGTCCCTCCACAGTGGCAGTTGTCCCCTCGGTGGTGGCAGTTGTCCCTCACTGGTGGCAGTTGTCCCGTGGTGGTAGCAGTTTTTCCTCCACAGTGGCAGTTGTCCCCTCGGTGGTGGCATTGTCCCTCCATGGTTGAAGCTGTCCCTTCACAGTGGCAGTTTCCATCAGTGGTGGCAGTTGTCCCACAGTGGGGGCAGTTGTCCATCCACAGTTGCAGTTGTCCCACAGTGGTGGCAGTTGTCCCTCGGTGGTGGCAGTTGTCCCCTTGGTGGTGGCATTGTCCCTCCATGGTTGAAGCTGTCCCTCAGTGGTGGCAGTTGTCCCTCGGTGGTGGCAGTTGTCCCTCGGTGGTGGCAGTTCCGTGTCCTGCATGCAGCATGCCCTGTCCGTGTCACCGGCGGCTCCGGCGCGTCCCCTCCGCGCTAACCCCGCCCCGTTTGTGTGTTCCAGTCGCTTGGTTTTCTTTCGACCCCTCCTCTGCCCACGCTGACATCATCTTTTCCAACGACAACCTGACTGTCACCTGCAACAGCTACGATGACAGGGTGGTGCTGGGCAAGACGGGCTTTTCCAAAGGGCTGCACTACTGGGAGCTGTCCATCGACCGCTACGACAACCACCCCGACCCCGCCTTCGGCGTGGCTCGCATCGACGTCCTCAAGGATGCCATGCTGGGCAAGGACGACAAAGCCTGGGCCATGTACGTGGACAACAACCGCAGCTGGTTCATGCACAACAACTCCCACACCAACAGGTAGGTGGCATTGCCACGGGGGTTTCCTCCCGGGAAGAGCCCGTGGCTTTGACAGTGGCTCCTGTATTGTCCACGGGGAGGGGGACATCAGTCCTGGTCAGCTCTGTTGGAGGATGAGCCCTTCCCCGAGTGGGGAATGAGGTGTTGCCTCGTTCCACTATTCCTCCCCTGCCTGCCATCGTTTTTTCCATGCTGACTCTTGCTGTTGGCATCCCCTTCCCAGTAACAGCCAAATCCTTGCAACTCCTACAACGTGTGACATAATCCCTGTGCCACAGCTGCTGCTCCTGTCCCAGTGGGACTGGGGACTTTGCCTGGGGAGAGCCTGTGGTCACCTTGCTGCAGCCCTGAGCACTGTTCCCCGATGGACCAGCAGGTTTTGGTGTGGGTGCTGTGGCTTTGCTCCACAGTTCCAGGTGTTTTCCCCCGTGGTTGTGTGGCTGGGGCTGCTCTCAGGGTGGCTTTTCCCTTGGGGACATGGTGGCAAGAGGACAGCAGCTCCAAGGCAGGGTAGAGGAGGAGATTCCCAGGGAATTATGAGTTTGGCTGGGATTGGAGCAGGTCATGACCTGGCTCCTGGGTGAGCTGTGGTGTTCACCATCATCAACCCTTGAGCTCCATGGCCTGAGCCAGGAGCAGAGGGGACACTGATCCACTGCCCTTGAGACACTAATTTTAGAAAAGTTAAGATTTTTATAGGTAGCTAAAAGATTGTTAAAGATAGTTAAAAGCTAGGTTTGCTGGAATTAATTGAAGCAGATAGATAGATAGGCCTTGCTAGAAGTAATTAAGAGTTAGTAGTTAAAAGAAGCCAGATTTGAGGTGGTTATCTCAGATGTAAATAACTCATTGCTTGTCATTTTTATGTTTGCTCAGCTGGGTTTGCAATGAGAAAAGGAGAAAGTGATAAAGAGATCTAAAGGAACACAGACAATTGTAAATCTTTTACATCTCAAAACCAATTCAAAAGTCATGAAGGGAGGGAACTGGAGCTCCCCCAGAGCTCATCTGTGTTGTCATCTGTGGGAGGGGTTGGAAGTTCAGGGTGAGGAAGACTCTCCTTACTTCCTCTTTTCACAATCCCTCCTCATAAAAAGACCACAGACCCAATTAAGAGAGCAAACCATGCATGCTTAATAGTTAATTACCATAGGAAGAGGGGAATGGGAGGTGTTGGTGTTATGAATATGGAAACATTCAAAACTTTTGTAAATAAATAGACTCTGAAATCACTTGGGATTTGGCAGTGCATTTTTGGGGATTACCTCCTGCAGCTGAATTAAACATTCACTTTCTAACCCTGAACTTTTAGAGAGCCTTTTACCCATCACAGTTGATGTGATTTGAGTAAATCACCTTTCTCCTCCCACAGAACCGAGGGTGGGATCACCAAGGGAGCCACGGTGGGAGTGCTGCTGGATCTGACCAGGAGGACTCTGACATTCTCCATCAACGAGGACCAGCAAGGGCCCGTGGCCTTCGAGAACCTGGAGGGGCTCTTCTTCCCTGCTGTCAGCCTCAACAGGAACGTGCAGGTATGTGGTCAGACCAATTCTGGGCATCACCAGCCATGACCTTGCACCACTTTTTGATTTATTGAGAGGAGGCTGCAACATCAAATCTCCCAGAACCTTCACACCTGAAGCTCAAAAAACTTGATAAAGTTGCTGAAGCCCTCCAGCAAAGACAAGCACAGCCATGTCACAACCATTTCTTGCAGTGTTAGGAGAAAGACTGCAATTCATATTTCAATGGGACACCTCAAATAAAAGATCCTTTGCTAATAATCAAATTAATTTTCTTATCTTACAGATCTCCAAAAACAATTTTTACAACATTAGAAATGACAGCTCAAATCATAACTAGAGCCAGAGCAAGATTGTTAGCAGTGGTAGGCAAAGATTTTAAAATAACTTATCTGCCATTGAAAAAGGATATTTTGATGAGGCATTGCAAAAATGGGAAGAATTGCAAATTGTATTGTTAGATTATTCAGGTGTCTGTTCAATTCACTTTCCAAGCCACAAGCTGTTGCAAGCAAAATTAAGTTTTAGAGAAAAACCCAAATTAAGTTCTATTGGATGCAATAACATTGTTCACTGACAGTTCAGGAAAAACACATAAATCAGTAATAACATGGCAGAACCCAAAAACAAAGACATGGGAATCAGACATTCAAACAGTAGAAGGTTCTCCTCAAATTATGGAATTGGCAGCAGTGCTCAGAGCATTTCAGTTGTTTCAGGAACCCCTCAATTTAATTACAGATTCAACTTAGGTAGCCAATGTAGCCAAAAAAATAGAAGGGTCACTTTTAAAGAAGGGTGATAATGATGATCTCTATTGTTACCTTGCATGTATGCAACAAATTTCACAACACGGAAAAAACCAAATACTTTGTATCTCACATCGAGGCACATTCAAAACTCCCGGGGTTCCAACAGGTGTGGGCTTGGTGTGACATTCCCAGCAGTGGGAAGAGGTGACTTTGCTGTCCCCCTCGTGCTCTGTCACTGCAGTAGTTGCTGCTCAGGAGCAGGAGGGTTCTTGTGCAGCAAGGGTGGCTTGGAAGGAGCTGAACTTGCCCCTTGAAGCAGCTGTGAGTGTCCAGAATCAGGAGAGGCTCCCCTGTAGCCTCACTCCTCGCTCCAGCTTCCTCCCTCAGGAAGCACCAGGGTTCTCCAGCCCTCCTTGGGATGGGGTTTGGTAACTTCTTGTGATTTTGTTTTGTGGTGCTCCCTCACAAGAGCCTCACCAGCTCCTACAGCTCTCCCAAATCCCGGGTGGGAGCATCACCAGGCAGAAGGGCACCTTTCAAAGCCTGTTTTCCTCTGGGACATTTCAAAGCCCTCTTCTCTCCCTCTCTCCCAAGCTCTCAGCTGTCCTGAACATCCCCAGGCTGTGACACCTTGAGCCAATCTGGTATTTCCATCTTTCATTTCTCTTCTCACTGATCACATCCCTGCTCTCCTCTGTCCCAGGGAATCCTCCACACCCTGGCACATCCCCCCTGCCACTGCCTGCACCTCCAAGCCTGCCCAGGCACATCCAAGGACACCTTGCACATAATGGATCATCCCAGGGTGTTGAGCATTTTGGCAGGGTCTTCTACAGTGGGTGTCAAAGCTGGAGAGGGACTTTGAAACAGAGCCTGGAGTGACAGGATAAGGGGGAATGGCTTCCCATTGCCAGAGGGCAGGGGTAGCTGGGATATTGGGAAGGAATTCTTCCCTGTGAGGGTGAGGACAGGGTACCCAGAGAAGCTGTGGCTGCCCCTGGATCCCTGGCAGTGTCCCAGGCCAGGCTGGATGGGGCTTGGAGCAGCCTGGGATAGTGGAAGGTGTCCCTGCCCATGGCAGGGGGTGGAATGAGATGGGCTTTGAGGTCACTTCCAACCCAAACCATTTTAGGATTTTTTTATCACCTCTGGGCAAGGGCAGAGGCACCAAGTGGCCTCTCTGAATTAGGGATGCATTAATTAGGACATGCTTTGCTGTGTCCATCAGGATCCAGGGCTTACTGTGCTGTCACCAAGGCAGTGACAATTTCCCAGCAGCACTGGGACAAAGGTGTGTTGGGACCATCCCAGACTTTGGATGCATCCTTGCCAAAGTGTCCCACCCAAAGAGTCTCATTGGCAGGGGAGTCTGCCTGGCGTGGAGAAGGGCTGGGAAATGTTTAATTAAGAAACACTAATGAAGCCCATGTTGTCTATACTGAGTTTAGAAGTGCTGTATTAATTTGGTGTGGTAAAAACATCCTGCTGTGTTTAATTCCTACCTCAGTCCTCTACACAGCCATAAGGGACAAGGCATTTCTGGAGCCCCTTGGCTTTGTGAGTTCCCTGGGCAAGGCAGAGCCTAAATCCCCTGACAACACAGAAATCCCATGGGATGCTGATAAAAGGCTGCTAATTAAGCCAAGCCATTTATTATGCTTCTTCAGAGGTATATGTCTAATTGAAAACAACTCTAATTAGGAGGGAAATCACTGTATTTTAGACAGTTTTCTTTAAATCTGTATCTGAAGGGGAAAATGCTGCTGCTGCAATAAAAGGAGGAATTGTGCTCTCCTCCCAAATGAAAGCATTTGTGGAAGGAACTGAATTTCACCAGTGACTGTGTGAGCATGGCCCTGTCCCAACATCCCAGTGCTGCTCAGCTAACCCACCACAAAGCTCCTTCCTCCCACCACTGTCCCTGTCCCCTCTGTGTCCCCATCCCTTTCAGCTCAGGGGATCTCCTGTAATGTCTTCACTGTCCTTCAGGCTCCCCCATGCCCTCTGCACAAAGACCCATCTCCTGCCATGTCCCACCTCTCTGGCAGCCACCTGTGGGATTTGTACACAGCCAGCTGGGAATATCTGGGGCTTGGCACCAGCAGTCCCAGTTCACTCCAGCAGCACAAAAGTGAAGAACGAGCCAGAACTGTCACAGTTCTGGGGACACCCGCATCTCCAGTCACATCCCGCCTGTCCCCAGTGCTGCTCCTGCCCTCTCTGGGGACAGTGTGCCAGCTGCCATGCCACGACCTGTCCCAGCAGGCCCACTGGGACCCAGCTGAGCCCCGTGTCTCTCCTTGCAGGTGACACTGCACACCGGGCTGCCGGTGCCCGAGTTCTACGCTTCGCGCTCGGCCATGCCCTGAGGATGCTCCCGGAGCCGGCTGCCTCTTCTCGGGAGGAGAGGAGCCAGCCCGTTCCCTCCTGCAGGACAAGGCCAGCCTGCCCAGCTGCCGGCTCCCTGCCCAGCTGCCAGGTCCCTGCTGGGCTGCCAGGTCCCTGCTCAGCCTCTGGCTGGAGATGGGGAAGCAAATCGGGAAGGAAGATCCTGGCTTTCGGCCGCTGCGCTCTCCGGCCTCCGCGCTGTCCTGTGTGTGTGCGCTTCGCTCTTTAGCTCTCTTTGGCTGATCAAGTACCTAGGTAGCCTGAGCTGTTCTCCTGTGTCTGCTTTTAGGTTTGGTTTTCCTGATTTGAGTTGGGGTTTTTTGGGGATGGGGGGGCAGTTCCGTCTCGCTTTCCCCTCCCGTGGGGCCAGCCGGAGGGACCCCACCACGGGAACGCTTCCAGCCTGGTTACTTTGCAGGATTATTTCTTTCCCCTGTGGCCTTTCTTGCAGAGCACCCTCGGTCATGTGTAGAGGTGGGTCCTGGATTACCAGTCAGTCTCCATGTCCTGACCAAAACTCCCCACTCTGTCCCGTGTCCCCCTGGGGCGTGTCTGTGGGGCAGGGGGTGGCCATCCTGTCCCCAGGTGCTCCGGGTGCTGGCAGACCCTTGGTCGGGTGCTGAATGCCCACGGGGGGCTCTCCAGGTGCCCCCCACACCTCGGTGCCAGCACATGCGCCACAGCCATAGACCAGAGAGCCTTCACCTGGCTCTTCGGAGATTAGTGTTTATTTTTTTATAGTTGCCATATAAAGCCTAGCCTTAAATTCAACTGATAGTGTCCTTCCAATCAGCGGAGAATTCATTCTGCAGTGAGGGTCTGACAGAGAGCCCGGGGGTGGGGATGGGATGGGGGAGGAAGGAGAGCTGGCCACAGCCCTGCCACGCACTCAGGAATACTCGCCTGCTGCCGGCAGCAGTTCCCGTCAGCCTCCATCCCCTGCTTGACTTTCTGGTAATTCAGAGGCAGGAGAGGAACGGTGCCAGCCCTGTGGCCGAGCCCAGAGCTCCTGCATGTCCCCCCACTTGAGCTGGGACGGGCAGTGGGATCACTCCCAGCTCCAGGTGGGATGCGACAGCAGCGCCGGCCCAGCAGAAAGACAAGTGTAAATATAAATATCCCATTCCCTCCCAGCGAGCCCTCCTCTAGGACAGTCCCCTTCATCCCCTTGTTGCTCTAGCATTTAAGTTTTCCTAATTTATTGGATGGGTGCTATCTCGTTGACTCCCACCAAGGAGTTCCTCCCAGCTGCCGTGTTGCGGGACAACGCCGGGCAGCTCCTTGGTGGATTCCTGAGGAGCTCCTGTGGCCGGCTCACCCGGGGCTCCTCTCTCTCAGCTGTCATCCCCCGTTCTTTAGGGTGTTCATGGTGCTTCTTAGAGTCCCAGTGATTGTAAGACGTCGTCCCCCCCTCCCCCGTTGCGCGATGGTAGCTGCACACAGCCGCTGTACTGACCACGAGTGTCACGTTTGCCGTTCTAATAAAGGACTTTTATGAGAGAAGGGCAGAGCTCCCGGAGCATCTCTGTGCTTCACTTCCCGTCTCACCCCTCCCTGGTACCCCTGGTTCACTTCCCCTCATCCCCTCACTGCCCTTGTCCAGAGACAGCAGCAGAGAATGGACAGAACTCACTCAAAGGGAGGGAGGGGGGCCGTGGAAGCCACTTGAGGAAGGAGTTCTTGGCTGGGAGGGTGGGGAGGCCCTGGCACAGGTTGCCCAGAGAAGATGTAGCTGCTCCATCCCTTGAAGCAGGGAGGGATGACCAAGGCTGGATACAGAGCACCATCTCCCCAGGGAGATGAAATAGAGGCAAAACTCTCAGGGATCAGTGGAGGGGGAGCCATTTCCAACGGAACAGCATGGACAGATCTCTCAGGGCCGTGAGAAGGACTCACTGCTGGGATATCAGTGCCTGCTCTGTTTTCCCAGAGTGACTCAGGAGAGGTTTTCAATGTGCAGCCTCTGAGCTCATCACGGGCTTGAGTCCAGGCCTAAAGAAGAAAATGCTAATGCATGAAGTGCATCTCAGAAGGATGCTTGTTCCTTCCAGAGTGGGAATGTGCCCAGAACACCGGAGATACAGGAAACTGCATCTTCCCTGCAGCATGTAAAACCAGCCTGTAAGCCATGTACAGCACAGGGAACAGCCCAGGGCCAGAGCATCTGTGGCAATGGGACAAAGGGGAATGGTTTTACACTGACAGAGGGGAGATTGAGATGAGCTGTTGGGAAGAAATTCCTCCCTGTGAGGGAGGTGAAGCCCTGGCACAGGGTGTCCTGTAGCTGCCCCATTTCTGGAAGGGTCTAAGGCCAGGCTGAACAGGGCTTGGAGCAACCTGGGCTAGTGGAAGGTGTCCCTGCCCTTGGCAGAGGGTGAAACTGGATATCTTTAAGCTCCTTTGCAACCCAAGCCATGCCATGATCGTGTGATTCTGTTACTCTCCGGGTATGGATCTGTGCGTGGATCTAATCTAATCTAACCTAACCCTGCCCTCTGGCACTGGGAAGCCATTTATTTCCCCATCCTGTCGCTCCAGATCTTTGTCCCTCTTCAGCTCTCCTGGAACACCTTTAGACCTTGGAAGGGGCTATAAGGTCTCTCTGGAGCCTTTTCTCTGCCAGGTGAACATTCCCAGCCTTGGCTGCAGAGCAGAGGGGCTCCAGCCCTTGGAGCATCTCTGTGGCCTCCTCAGGACTCGCTCCAGCAGCTCCACATCCTTCTGATGTTGGGCTCGATGCAGGACTGCAGGTAAGGTCTCACCTGAGCGGGACAGAGGGGCAGAATCCCATTTCCCTGCTTTGCTGTCCACTCTGCAGGGGATGAGCCCGGGACAGGGAAAACACACAGCCTGGAAAGTCTGCAGGGCCATGGCTGCAGGAGGAGGAGGAGGAGGAGGAGGAGGAGAAGGAGGAGGCGGGGGAGGAGAAAGTGTTGCGTTGGAAGCTCATATCGGATATTTTTGCCCTTGGGAGGAAGCGGAGGCAGGGCAAGGTCCTGCGGGCAGGGCAGGGCACTGCGGGCAGCCACGGTGCGGGAGCAGCCCGGAGCCCGGGGAAAGAGATCCCACGCCATTTCCAGAGGGATCGCGGGCAGGAAGAGAACAGTGAGGAGACGGGGGGAAAAGGGAGGGGGCCGGGAAATGATGCGGGGGGCAGTCGGAACACTGGGAGAGGACCGTGACACAGGGATTGACGGTGACACGAGGATGCATCGTGACACGGGGCGGGGGGCAAACACATCACGACACTTTCACGGTTTTCCCTGCGGGCCCAGAGGGAAGCACCGTCCTCGTACGTGCTCCAGGAGAGGCTGTCCCGCGGGTGGGGCCGGGCGTGGGGCGGTCCCTGCCGGGGGCGGTCGCTGCGGGGGTCAGCGCCGGGTGGCGGTGACCGCGCCCGGACCCCTCGGCTCTGCCCCAGCCCCTCGCCCCCTCCTCTACACCTGCCCGGGACACCCCCTTTGCGCATCCCTCCGTGCCCCCCACCGTCCCCATATTGCGCATCCCTCTGAGACCACCCAGGATCCCCCCCTTTGCAGACCCCTCTGTGTCCCTGCGGATTCTTCCTGTCTTTTGCGCACCCTTCTGTCCATACCCGGGATCCCCCTCCCTTCGCACGTTCCTCTGTGACCGTCGGGGTCCCCCCTTTGCACTCCCCTCTGAGAGCCCCAGCCAAAGGGCGGTCCCCCGGACACGTTCCTGGAGTGCCCCCCTTTGCACTTCATCTATCCCCGGGATTCCCCCTTTGTATTTCCCTCCATCTATCCCCGGGGTTCCCTCTTGGCATTTTTCTCCGTGCACCCCCAGGATTCCCCTCTTTGCACCCCCCTCTGTCCATCCCCGGGATTCCAGCTTTGCACTCCCCTTTGTCCATCCCCGGGGTCTCCCCTTTGCACTTCCTTCTGTCCATCCTCAGAGTCCCCCTTTTGCACCCCCACTGTCCATCCCCAGGATCCCCCCACTCCGTCCATCCCCGGGATTCCCCCTTTGCACCCACTCCACCCATCCTCGGGCTCCCCCTTTGTCCCCACTCTGTCCATCCTCGGGGTCCCCCCTTTGTCCCCCACCCGGTAGTGCCCGCCGCTCCCGCCCCACGCGTGGGCGGCCCTTTGCGGGGCCCGTCCCCATCCCCGTCCCCTCCCGGGGCGGTGCCAGCGCGGGGCGGAGGCGGAACGCGGCTCCGGAGCCCAGCCCGTGTGTCCGTGTCCCACTTGGCCGTGTCCCCGCAGCTCCGCCGCGATGTCGCGGCCGCTGTCGGACCAGGAGCGGAGGAAGCAGATCAGCATCCGCGGCATCGTGGGCGCAGAGAGCGTGGCCGAGCTCAAGCGCGGCTTCAACCGGCACCTGCACTTCACCCTGGTCAAGGACCGCAATGTGGCCACCCCACGCGATTACTACTTCGCCCTGGCCCACACCGTGCGGGATCACCTGGTGGGGCGCTGGATCCGCACCCAGCAGTACTACTACGAGAAGGATCCCAAGGTGGGAGCGGTGGGATTAAAGGGGGGAACCCCTCCGTGCAGGGCGGGGTGCTGGGAGCCCCCCAGGGTGGGTCCTGGGTTGTGGCTGGGGTGGGAACCATGGGAACCCCGTGGATGTGAGCGCTCCCTCCGCGCTGGAATAGGGGGATTGGCGGGGCTCGGTTTTTCATGGATTTAGGGCTGTTCGGGTAACTTTTCCGAGAGGAGGGACTGGACTTTACCAAGCGAGGCCACTGTCCTTTGCTCTGCAAAACAAACAGAGCGCGGCTTGGCCGGCAGCGGGGTGCAGGGCATGGGAACGCCGTTTGTTGTCCCGCGGCGCCGGCGTGGGTGCTGTCTACCAAAACCAACTCCAAAGCCTTCCCGGGGGAATTATTGGAAAGGCTTAAAGGCACCCGAAGCCAACCGCAAACAAGTCTTGTTGAACACAAGTGATGCCAAGCGTGAGAGATCCGGTTTGTGCAGGAGTTGCTGCTCGTCCCGCTGGCTTGCTCCGGGCT